GCAAGGAAACCTCCTGCTGATTACCACCTACCGTCCTCCCTCAGCTGATCAATCAGTACTTCTCCATGTTGAACAACACTTAGAGGAAGCACTGAGGATGGCAAGGGCACCAAATGTACTCTGGGTGGGGGATTTCAATGTCCACCACCAAGAGTGGCTCAGCAGCAGTATTACTGATCGAGCTGGTCCAGTCCTAAAGGACATAGCTGCTAGACTGGGTCTGCGGCAGGTGGTGAGGGAACCAACAAGAGGGAAAAACATACTTGACCTCATTCTTACTAATCTACCAGCTGCAGATACATCTGTCCATGACAGTATTGGTAAGAGTGACCATCGCACAGTCCTTGTGGAGACCAAGTCCCGCCTTCACATTGAGAATAATTTCCATCATGTTGTGTGCACTATCACCGTGCTAACTGGGACAGACTTCGCACAGATCTAGCAACTCAAGACTGGCCATCCATGAGGCGCTGTGGGCCATCAACAGCAGCAGGATTGTACTCCAGCACAATCTGTAACCTCATGGCCCGGCATATCCCCCACTCAACCATTACCATCAAACCAGGGGATCAACCCTGGTTTAATGGAGAGTGCAGGAGGGCATGCCAGGAGCAGCACCAGGCATACCTGAAGGTGAGGTATCAACGTGGTGAAGCCACCAAACAGGACTACTTGCACGCTAAACAGCGAAAGCAGCAATTGATAGGCAGAGCTAAGCAATCCCGCAACCAACAGATCAGATCTAAGCTCTGCACATCCAGTTGTGAATGGTGATGGACAATTAAACAACTCACTGGAGGAGGAGGCTTCACAAATATCACCATCCTCAATGATGGAAGAGCCCAGCACATCAGGGCAAAAGATAAGGCTGAAGCATTCGCAGCAATCTTCAGCCAGAAGTGCTGAGTGGATGATCCATCTCAGCCTCCTCCAGTGGTCCCCAGCATCACAGATACCAGTCTTCAGCCAATTTGATTCACTCCACGTGATATCAAGAAACGGTTGGAGACAGTGGATACTGCAAAGGCTATGGGCCCTGACAACATTCTGGCAATAGTACTGAAGACTTGTGCTCCAGAACTTGCCGCTCCCCTAGCCAAGCTGTTCCAGTACAGTTAGGACACTGGTATCTACCCGATAATGTGGAAAATGGCCCAGGTATGTCCTGTACACAAAAAGCAGGACAAATCCAACCCGGCCAATTCCCACCCCATCAGTCTCCTCTCGATCATCAGGAAAGTGATGGAAGGTGTCAGTAACAGCGCTATCAAGCAGCACCTGCTCAGCAATAACCTGCTCAGTGACGCCCAGTTTGGGTTCCACCAGGGCCACTCAGCTCCTGACCTCATTACAGCCTTGGCTCAAACATGGACAAAAGAGCTGAATTCCAGAGGTGAGGTGAGAGTGACAGCCCTTGATATCAAGGCTGCATTCGACCGAGTGTGGCATCATGGAGCCCCGGCAAAACGGGAATCAATGGGTATCAGGTGCCAAACTCTCCGGTGTTTGGAGTCATACCTGACACATAGGAAGATGGTCGTGGTTGTTGGAGGTCAATCATCTCAGCTCCAGGATATCCCTGCAGGTGTTCCTCAGGGTAGTGTCCTTGGCCCAATCATCTCCAGCTGCTTCATCAATGACCTTCTCTCCATCATAAGGTCAGAAGTGGGGATGGTCGCCGATGATTGCACAATGTTCAGCACCATTCGCAACTCATTATATTGAAGCAGTCCATGTTCACATGCAACAAGATCTGGACAATATCCAAGCTTGGGCTGACAAGTGACAAGTAATATTCGCGCCACACAAATGCCAGGCTATGACCATCACCACTAAGAGACAATCTAACCACCACCCCTTGACATTCAATGGTGTTACCATCACTGAATCCCCCACTATCAACATCCTGGGGGTTATCATTGACCAGAAACTCAACTGGACTCACCACATTAACACAGTGGCTACAAGAGCAGGTCAGAAGCTGGGAATACTGCGGCGAGTAACTCCCCTCCTGACTCCCCAAAGCCTGTCCACCATCTACAAGGCACAAGTCAGGAGTGTGATGGAATACTCCCCACTTGCCTGGATGGGGGCAGCCCCAACAACACTCAAGAAGCTTGACACCATCCAGGACAAAGCAGCCACTTGATTAGCACCACATTCACAAACATCCCACTCCCTCCACCACCGACGCTCAGTAGCAGCAGTGTGTACTATCTACAAGATGCTCTGCAGAAATTCGCCAAAGATCCTCAGACAACACCTTCCAAACCCACGACCACTTCCATACAGAAGGACAAGGGCAGCAGATACATGGGAACACCAGCCCCCTGCAAATTCCCCTCCAAGCCACTCACCATCCTGACTTGGAAATATATCGCCATTCGTTCACTGTCACTGGGTCAAAATCCTGGAATTTCCTCCCTCAGGGCATTGTGGGTCAACCTACAGCACATGGGCTGCAGCGGTTCAAGAAGGCAGCTCACCCCCACCTTCTCAAGGGGCAACTAGGGACGAGCAATAAATGCTGACCAATCAGCAACAACTACATCCTGTGAGCGAATAATAAAAGTATTTTGAATGTGAGGAGTGTGAACTGGTGGGAGATTAATGAGTGAGTGTGAGCAATCGTGAGTGAGTGTGAATGATCAGTGAGTGAGTTTGAAAGATTGGTGACTGAGTGTGAGAATGCAGTGACGTGTCTGGAATATAATCCAAGCTTGATGATTTAAAATATTCATTCCCTGAATATTACAATTTTTGTGTGCAGTTTAATGAACTGGACTGACTGATAAATTTTAGATGAAGTTATTTTAGAATGCAGGGCTATTTCTGGCACCTTGTAACTGACACATCAGACAGTCCAGGAGTTGTTGAAGTTAAATTCTCAGCAAAACTTTTGAAGTTGAGCAGCATGGGTGATTAATATTTGATGCAGCAATTGTACCTCACGTTAGTTACAGCTGTCTGTTGTTTCCCAGCAGTGATCCTGGGAGAAGGAGGGACTGGAGGCTCCTACTGTGTTACCCCACTGTCTAACACTGCCTCCATTGAGGTGGGGTTCCTGAAATTACACTCTGTCCCTGACTGACCTGGAGCAGCTCGTCCAGGACTGAGATACGCTTTGATCATCAAAAAATCAAAAAGCAGACAGCCTGAGTATTGACAGTCCCAAATCTTCGGCCAGCCTCATCCTACACTGGGTTTGGATACACTGGCAAAGAATTCCAGTCAATTTCAGACCCAGGGATATCATTCATGGATCCACCATGAATTTGTGTCAGTGGAGTTTTGGGAAAGTCCAGATTCACTAACAAACAAACTGAACATAAAAACAATCCCAGTGCCAGTGTGTGTGTGAGTGAGTGGGTGGGTGATTGAATGTGAGCGTATGAGTGAGTGGGTGAGTGTGTGAGTGAGTGAGTGTGAATGAGTGAGTGAGTGAGTGAGCTTTCCTTTGTGTTTTAGATTTCTGAAGCCTTTCCACATCTAAAAAATAGTCTATACATCTATTCTACCTACCAAAGTGTGTAAGCTCCCACTTTCCCACATTGTAATCCACCTGCTACTTCTTTGCCCACTCTCCCAGCCTGTCCAAATCCATCTGCAGCCTCCCCACTTCCTCAACACTACCTGTCCCTCCAGCTATCTTTGTGCCATCTGCAAAATTAGCAACAATGCCCTCAGTTCCTTTGTCCCTATCATTTATGTATAACATGAATAGTTGTGGTACCTCTGCAGACCCCTACAGAACGCTATTAGTCACTGCTGCCATCCTGAAAAAGACCCCTTTCTACCTACTCTCTGCCTTCTGCTAGTCTGCCAATCCTCTATCTGTGCCAGTACCTTGTCCCTAACACCATGGGCTCTTACCTTCTGTAGCAGCCTCCTGAGTGGCACCTTGTCAGAGGCTTTCTGAAAATCCAAATAGATCATGTCCGTTGGCCCCCCTTTGTGTAACCTGCTCGTTACTTCCTCAAAGAATTCTAACACATTTGTCAGGCATGACCTCCCCTTGATGAAGCCGTGCTAACACAGACCTATTTTCCCACGCACTTCCAAGTACTCCATAATCTCATCCACAATAATGGGCTCTAAAATCTTACGAATGACCGAGGTTAGGCTAACCAGCCTATAATTTCCCATCTTCTGCCTCCCTCCTTCTTAAACAGGAGTGTTACATTAGCCATTTTCCAGTAATCAGAGACCCTTCCTGACTCCAGTGATTCCTGAAAGATCACCAACAATGCCTCTACAATCTCCTCAGCGATCTCCTTCAGAACTCTGGGATGTAGTCCATCTGTCCAGGAGGTTTATTCACCTTCAGACCTTACAGCTTCCCCAGCAGCTTCTCCTCAGTGATAGCTGCTACGCTCACCCCTGTCCCCTGACCCTGTTGAATTTCTGATGTACAGCTGGTGTCTCCCACTGTGAAAACTGACACAAAATACTGATTCAGTTCCTCCACCATTTCTTTGTTCCCCATTACTACTTCTCCAGCCTCATTTTCCAGTGTCCCAGTGGGCACAATTACCTCTCTCTTACCTTTTAGATATCTAAAAAATACTCTCGTAATTTTATTTTATATTACTAGCTAGCTTATGGTCAGATTTCATCTTCTCCTCACTTATTATTTTGCTTTGATTTATTTGATTTGTTTTGATTTATTTATTGTCATGTGTATTTATTACAAATACAGTGAAACGTGTTGTTTGGTTTTGACACTCTCCAATGCTGTCTTAAAACACAGAATATAAAGCCAGTAAAATAAAGCAATAAAGTTCATCTTATTGTCTGATCTTAATAGAGTTCGGTGGTCTTTGGAACAGCTCCTGCTTCTTGCTCAGCTCTGGGTCTGGATCTAGGCTCCTCTGCCCTGAGCCTGAGCCAATGACACTGCTGTAACTGTGCTTCAGTGCATCACTGCTGCTGGAACAAAGAGTCAACAACCCGCCCACCCCCACATCCCCTCCCCCCAGCCCTCCCTGGCACCATCTCACCTCCACCAACACCGTCACCACCATGAGGTCCCGCTGAGCCGCCATCACCAGTGCAGCTGCCATCGCTGCCTTGTAACCTACCATTATCAAACAATCCCAGAGGGCCGTGTCTCTGAAGCTTCTCGAAGGGGACATTCAGCAGGGTGGTGCTGACACCCTTACACATCTCCTTCGAGCGCGTCAGAGCCATGCTTTTGGTGAGCTGCAACTGAACCACCTCAGCTAGCACCTACACCATGGTGACCAGCTTCTTCCTCAGCCCAGTGTTGGACTTGGTCCTGAGAGGCAGGGCCAGTCATAGAAACCTCCCAGAATTACACCGTTACCCATCCAGGATGTGGCAGCTGTTCGTATCAGACCAGTGTCTAATGTGGGGAATGAGAGTCGGGATCTCTCTCGCCATGTTAAGAGGAAAGGTGCTGGAGCGAAGGCACCAAGGAAAGCCCAGCAAGGTGCTAACGAATGAGAGAGCCGGGAGCTCACTTTGGTGGCTGAATGAGGACTCTCAGATTGAAGAGAAAGCAAGATCATGTGGATCCTGTGCATTAGTCAGAAAGGTGACACTGTTGTCGTCCGTTTCACCCATGGGAATGGCCTCAATCACCATGGCATCACATCAATTTCACAGGATCGGTAGAGGGACAGACGTTACTAGTGGTCATGGATACCCACTGCAAATGGCCTGAGGTGATAGTCATGAAGTTGGTATCTGCAGAAGCAACAATAGACAAACTGGATGAAATATTTTCCAGGTTTGGGAAACCTGAACAAGTAGTGACAATGATCCCACACACAATAACCCAGTACTTGTCGATATCCTTAATTTTCCACCATCGCTGAGAACCACGTTCGATCTGCTGTGGAGGTGGCAGACCGAAATCAGGTAGGACAGATGGTCGGAAGGGTGGGAACCTCATGGTGGAGGGTATTCCTCAGAGGAGAGACGGGATTCCAGCTGCGGTGGACCCTCAAACAGGACCGTTGTCATATACAAAACCAACTAGGGATGAACTGCTCAGGAGGAGACCTATGGTCCAGCTGGTTACCACACCTCACCCATGCAGGAAGGTCCCTCAGAATACTGAGCTGGTCCAGTTGGGACCAGGGGTGTTGACTGAGTCACTTGTCTCTGAGCCAGTGTTGTTTATACCCAGGTAGGAGACAACAGCAGTGTAACAGGGCAACAACAGCCAATCAGAAAGGGATGTACTTATGGGACAACAGGAGCTTCTGGAAGCTTGGGAGACTGCACTAGAGAAGGCTCCTGAGACAAAGAGAAGACAGGAATCGCTGTACACCGAGAGTCTACAGAATGGATGGATTGCATAGGGAGGGAGTCGCCATTCTCCCATGTTTTCCATGTTTCTTTAAAATATTCTTGATGTTGCACATATGTTGGCTACGATGCATGTGTCACCTTTACAATCGTTGTATATATGTTCATTACTGAGAGCTTTTGAAAAAAGGGGACGGGGTGTTATGTATGTAGTCGGGGGACATGTGCTGTCTCTTTAAGAGAGTGGGTCAGGTGGCCTGGAATGGACCTTCATATCAGTCCAGGTCTGATGGTGTAGTTGTAAAGGTTTGTAATAAATTGTTCTTGGTTCAGGGTCTACAGGCTGCCCTCCTGGTCTTTTTATCATTTTTAAATTAGCCTGAAATATAATGCCCCCATCGTTACTGTTTTAAGTTATCCTCTTGGGTTTTAAAGGCTTCCCACTAATCGTCACCACATTGTATATTTCTTCTTTTGTTTTTGTGCTGTGCCCAACTTCCCTTGTCAGCCACGGTTGCCTCATCACCCCCTCAGCATGTTTCTTCTTCCTTGGGATGAAATTCTGCTGTGTCCTTCCTGCCAGCTCTCTACACATTACCTGTGGATTTCAATAACGATGGTGGCATCATTTCACAAGGGGCTTCATTGGGGTGGTATCAAACCAGGTTCAAAACTGAGCCAAATGAGGATTTATTACACTGAGACATTGGGCCAAGAAGAGACAGAGAGATAGAGACCAACATAGAGACAGAGAGACAGACACTGAGAGAGAGAGATAGACAGAAAGAGAGAGAGAAATGAGGTCTGAAGAATGATATCGAAACAAGAGTCATAGAGTCGTTCCTAAACTGACCTAGTCCCATTTGCCTGTGTTTGGCACATAGTCCCCTAAACCTTTCCTATACCTGTCCCTATCCAAATGTCTTTTAAATGTCTTTTACTATTATGAGGGGGCATAATTTTAAGGTGATTGGAGGAAGGTATAGGGGAGATGTCAGAGGTAGGTTCTTCACACAGAGTTGTGGGCGTGTGGAATGCGCTGCCAGCAGTGGTAGTGGAGTCAGATACTTTAGAGACTTTTAAGCGACTCTTGGATAGGCACACGGAGGATAGTAAAATGTAGGGTATGCAGGGTAGATTGATCTTAATAGGATAATAGGTCAGCACAACATCGTGGACTGAAGAGCCTGTACTGTGCTGTACTGCTCAATGTTCTAGGTTCTATGTTCTATGTCAAATGTTGTAATTGTACCCACTACTACCACTTCCTCTGGCAGTTCATCCCATATACGCACCAACTTCTGCATGAAAAAGTTGCCCCTCAGGTCCCTTTTAAACCTTTCTCCTCCCACCGTAAACCTAGTCTTGGAATCCCCTACCCTGGGGAAAAGACCTGGGCTATTCACCTTATCTGTCCCTTTCATGATCTTATAAACCTCAATTAGGTCACCAATCACCCCCATTTCTCCAGGGAATGAAGTCCCAGCCTATCCCAGCCTCTCCTTATAACTCAAACTCTCCAGTTCTGGTAACATCCCTGTAAATCTTTTTTGCACCCTCTCCAATTTAAAAATAACCTTCCTGTAGTAAGGCAAACAGGGTTCTACACAGTCCTCTAATATCCTGTACAACTGCAACACGACCTCCCAACTCCTATATTCAATGCACTGACCAATAAAGGCAAGCGTACCTGACGCCTTCTTCACCGCCCTGTCTACCTGTGACACCATTTTCAAGGAACTATTCACCTGCACCCCTAGCTTTCTCTGTTCGACAACACTCCCCAGGATCCTACCATTAACTGTACAAGTCCTACCATGGTTTGTCTTACCAAAATGCAACACCTCACTTTTATCTGAATTAATATCCATCTGCCACTTCTTGGCCCAGTGGCCCAGTTGATCAAGATCCCATTATACCGTTAGATAACCTCCTTCACTGTCCACTATCCCACCAATTTTGGAGTGACCTGCAAACTTATTAACCTTGCCTTCTATATTCTCATCCAAATAATTCATATAAACAGCAAACAACAGTGTACCCAGCACCAGTTCTTGTAGCACAACACTGGTCACAGGCCTCCAGTCTGAAAAACAAATCTCCACCATCACCCTCTGTCTCCTACCGTCAAACCAATTGTGTATCCAAATGCTTAGCCCTCTGTTGATCCCATGTGACCTAACCTTACTAACCAGTCTACCATGTGGAACCTTGGCTAAGGTCTTGCTAAAGTCTAAACAACAACTACTGCTTCACCCTCATCTGTTATCTTGGCCATATCCCCAAAACCTCAACCAAATCTGTGCACACAATTTCCCACGCACAGAGCTATGCTGACTATCCCTTATTAATCCTTACCTCTCCAAATGCATGAGAGAGAGAGCGTCAGGGAGAGATTGAGACAGAGAGGGATAGATAGAGAGCAAGACAGTGTGAGAGAGAGAAAGAGAGAGAGAGCAAGAGAGTCAGAGAGCGAGGAAATGAGAGGCAGAGAGAGAAGGTGAGAGAGAGGGTAGCAAAGAGATAGTGTACAAGGAGAGAGACAAAGAGAGAGAGGGAGCAAGAGGTAATGAGACAGACTAAATTAGAGACAACACCAACAGAAACAAAGAGAAATTCAAAGGGAGAGAGACAGAGAAGGGGTGGGGGGGCGGTGACATAGAGATGAGTACAGAGAAAGACAGAGCAAGAGAGACAGGATAGAGACTGAGAGAGAGGGAGGGACACAGAGATGGGGACAGAGAGAGAGACAGAGAGAGAGGGACAGAGAGAGACAGAGAGAGAGAGAAAGAGAGAGAGAGGAAGGGAGAGACAGAGAGAGAGAGACAGAGAGAGAGAGGGACAGAGAGAGACAGAGAGAGATAGAAAGAGAGAGAGAGGGAGACAGAGGGAGAGAGAGGAAGGGAGAGAGAGAGAGAGAGAAAGGGAGAGAGGGAGACAGAGGGAGAGAGTGGAAGGGAGAGAGAGAGAGAGAGACAGAGGAAGGGAGTGACAGAGAGAGAGAGACAGAGAGATAGAGAGAGGGAGACAGAGGGAAAGAGAGGAAGTGAGAGAGAGAGAGAGAAAGGGAGAGAGAGAGTTGGGAGGATGTAGGATAGTTTCCTGCAATCATATGGTGTCAAACCAATAAGTGTGCTTGCCGTTTATTAAAGCATAGTGAGGCAGATTAAGTTCACAGTTGAGTGGTGTGCGAACATTTATCACAATGATTACAATATGATCACATTCACTGTAATGTTTGCAAAGGAAAAATGGGAAACAGCCCTGAAGCTTCAAGACTGAGGTCAGGCTGATTTCAATGAGTGGAGGCAGATACTGTGCCCAGGAATAAAAATGACAGAAATCAGACAGAGGTTTTTAAAAAGAAAGGGAGTGAGACAGAGATAGTAGGAACTGCAGATGCTGGAGAATCCGAGACAACAAGGTGCAGGGCTGGATGAACACAGCAGGCCAAGCAGCATCATAGGAGCAGAGAGGGAGTGAGACAGATTCAGGTTAAAGCCCCGAGGAGCATGAGGTAATATTCTATCGTTACCAAATCCTCCCTCTCTGAGAAACACAGCCAATGGACTGAGCCAAGGAACAAGCAAAGTACGAAGACAGTGGGAAAAGAAAGGCAGAGATTCTGGGAATGGGAAAAACACAAAGAACAGCAAAGACTGAAAAAAGCAATAACAACAGCTACATAAAGGAAGTAGATAAAAGAAATCAGCAAGGAATACTGATACTGACGGATAAATACCTTACAATCATATTGAGAGAAAGAAGTGCTCAGGAGCAATGTGAGCTTCTGGAAATGTGATAACAATGTTAGTGAAAACAAGATGATGGCGCACATGCTGAGTCATTATTTCATGTCAGAGCTTAGATGGTGCTTTATTTTCAGATATCAGCTCTGCTGTTGTGCAACTTGT